TATCTATATATATATATATATATATATATATATATAAAATTAAAAATACCTAAATTTTTTAAAATATTTTGTTTAATTTTATTTTATGAACTTTTACTTTTATATGCATTGTTCAGGATCTGAAGGTTTAGTATCTTATGATTTTAAGTTAGAACGAACTATAAAAAAAATCCAAAAACAAAAAGAACTCCACAATTTACAAGAAATGGTGAACACATCATATAATGAAACTATTTAAAATAAACAACATCATGTGCCAAGACCTTCATGAGACTACGTCAACCCTACAACAGATGAAATTCACTTGAGTATTTGAACTTAAACCTACTATAATCCAAATGGTAATTCCGACTAAGTGAAGTAACTGTGCATATAACAACTACCAACTTTAAAACCTTCAAGTCTTGTAGCCCAATTTGCTTAAACTGGAAGTTAATGGGATGAAATATTTAAAGGAAATCCCTACGCCAACACTTTAGTTTGATAAATGAGGAAATCATGGGCCATTAAAAAAAAAAAAATCTCGTTGTAATATAATAATAATGCGGGCCGAGTCATCATCGAGATCATACATAAATGAATTTTATGCGAACAAATTATTTTACTTAATTTTATATGAAAGTGAATCCTTTAATGTAGCATTATGTTATTGATGTCCGCACATAAACCTCGCTGTACATAATATTATTCCCATAAAGTGGCCCTGACTCCTGAGTACAACTTGCACGTTCTTTTCTGCCTTTTTTAAGTCTCCTTTCTCACCGGAGCTAGCGGGTTCGCTCTCATCACTCTTTTGGTTAGCGCCATTTTTTTCAATGGCTGAGATCCTCCAAAATGCTGTTCTAGCCTTCTTTTTCTTCCTCATACTCTCCCAATGCCACTCAACCTCTCGACCGCTCAATTGCTCCGAAACAGCTCGGATCTGCACCTCCTTTCTGGCGTTCAAGGCTGCCCCCAACGTAACCATATCTCTTGTGCAGAGCATGTTCGACGTTTTCCCCGAAGATGTAACCGCAGACAAGAGCAGTAGCCCTGACTATCTTTTCATCCGGAAGAACTGCTCCTGCCTATACAACAAGAAGTATCTCGCCAACACCACATTTACCATGAGAGGACGAGAGGGGTTGGTGAACGAGACGGTTGCCAGTGCCTATGACGGCCTCGCTCTGCTTCCTAATTCGACAAGGAGGGCACGTGTCGGGGCAGTGATCTCGCTGCACCTCATTTGTGGTTGTTCGAGCGGTTTGTGGAACTACCTGATGAGCTATGTGATGGAGGAGGGGGATTCGGTTCAGTCGCTCTCGAGTAGGTTTGGGGTCAGCATGGATGACATCGAGACGGTCAATGGGATGGACGGTCCTAATGGCGGATTCGTCGGCGATGTCTATTATATTCCTCTGAATTCAGGTTTGACCTGCTTTTTCGCAGCTTGCTATTGGGGATTTGACATGTGCCACGCCAAACGTGGAGATTGGCTGAAAAGCTAATTTTACTACTATTTGTTGATGTTCTTAACAAAGTCATGTACTATCATAGTTAGGATTCCACTTCGAATGTTAATTAGGAAAAATAACTCGAAAATTTTACTTCTATATCCGATTTTTCCCTTGGAGATCTGGGAGGAGTTATATGGCTTGCCTTGAATTAAAGGAAATGCCACGTGTTGTATGATGACAGCTTTACCGGCCATGAAGCTGCGATATGTATGTCCCATTAGTGAAATGTAGGATTGTTTCAGTTTGGGTGTTCGGAAAAAAATCCTATTTAGATCGGTTCTGTTCGATGCCATGCTCATTTTAGAATGACGTTGTTTCTCGATATGTGTGGTATAGGCGGAAAAGCATGAATGATCTGTAGCTGGAATTCCTCTTCTTTCTTGCCTTTTTTCTTTTAATCTGTTGATTGAAGTTTTACTATATTAAATTTCTTCTATCTGTATGCTGAAATATCTTGGTTTCTTCCCGTGAGTTTGGTTCATTGCTTCTTGAACCTGGCTCACTTACATTGTAACACTTAGGGTCCGTTTGGGGCAACTTATGAATTTCAGCATAAGCTGCTTATCCTGAAACACGGCCCGCGGGCCGGCAGCAAGGGTCGACGCTCGGTCTGCGTTTAGTGTAAAAACCCAAACGCAGTTTCGGATAAGCTGACGAAAAGCACGAACCAAACGGTATGGCGGCGACGTTCAAAACGCCGCCCACACTTATAAGCTGCCCCAAACGGACCCTTAGTTTCATCTCAAATGACTTGCTGAACTCTTAATTTGTTTGCTTTTCAGTTCCAGGGCAGCCTTATTTGGGTGACGACATCTCTCCAACCACTCAACCAGCTCCAGCTCCAACCAGTTCCACGGTATCAGGTATGAGAGCCATGTAAAATATCCTCATTAGTTCAGGCACTATCTTGCTCCCTTTCTCTGTCTCCCTGCTACAACTTTCATTAATAAGCTTTAGTCATTGTCAACTTTCATGCAGATGTTTGAGAAATTATTGTTCAAGTAGACTAAATTTTTAAACGGAGCTTTTTTCATAATCCTTCTAAGGAGTTTTTATAAGCTTATATTATAGGAGTTTCTAAAAAACAACGAGTTAATTTGTCCACTGGTGCCGAAATTTCCCACTTGGTTTGAGCTTGATATTATTTATTTTTTTTCTTGCATGTCCGGCCAATAGTTTGGGTCAATAGCCTATATTTATTTGCTTTTTTTTGAATTGAATTTAGATGATTATATAATAATTTATCTGTTCAATTTGACTTATATGCAAGCTTACTGTAGATGAATGTGATATTTACAATTAATCATTGTTAGGAGGGGTGCAAATGAGTCGTGCCAAGCTTAAACCAACCCCAACATCAACCTGTGCTTGACTAATTAATTGATTTTGAGCTCAAACATCATTTTACAAGTTTGAGTTGGTTCATGAGTGGTCTTGTTTATTATGAAAGATAAATATTAATACATATTAGATTAATTGAAGTAATACAAAGATACTTTAGAATACAAAATTGGAGAGATAATTAGAAATCTAATCATATTCGTAAGGTAACTATAATGTTATTGAATATTTTAGTAATTTTATAATTAAATTATTGAACTCTAATATTTTAATTGTATTTTATATTAATATTTTTTAAACAAGTGGACTCTCAAGTAGAGGCATTAAGTTAGAAATGGATCAATTTTGTCTCATTAGCTTATCTTCCACAATTAATAAGAAATTTTCAAGTTGAGCACTAGCTAACTTGCGAGTTTGCTTGACTTAGGGTCTGTTTGGGACAGCTGTTGATTATTTATAATCTATTGATCTGATAATCTGATAATCTGCAGATTATCAGAGTAAGCTGGCTTGCTGTTTTGGGGAGCTTATTCAGAATAACTTATTGATAGTTGTTGCTAGATAAATGACCATTTTCCCATGTTTGGTGAAATTGTTTGCAACAGAACTAAAAAAGCACAAAAATAGATAAAACAGAAGCCACAAATCATCATAGCAAATCCCAAAAGTCTGCCTACATGAAGCACTTGTTCAAACGAGGAAAGCAAGAGACAACTTCCCCATCAAGGCTCACCATATACTTTAAAAAAAACAACCTTTTGAAGCTTTGTAGAATTGACAACACTGCAAAATTATATATATGATTTTGCTCTTTAAATCATACCATTCAAGAATAGATAAAACAGAATAACAAGAATATCACATTGTGAAATCAATACAAAAATATAGTGTTGGTTGATATTAGGCCAATTCCACTGTCTCACATAAAATAGGGAACAAGCCGATCGCCTCATCATTTCATCCATTCTAACATTTCTTATAAACTATTGTCCATTGCATTCCAAGATCTAATGTTTTATTCCTGTTAATCAACAAAGCATAAAAAAACAAAATTTGAATTTATACCCATCTCCAGTATTGAGATTCTCACATAAATAATGAAGTTCACAATAAAAGAAAATCCTAACAGTATTTCTGCATTTTGAAAAAAAATCTGTTAAATATCTAAAATAAAACCCTAATAAGCAACGAAATCAAACATCTAGGGATTGAAAACTGGAAAAACGAATTTCGATGAAGGTAAACTGCGATAAAACATTTCATTGGGAGAAAAACGGATCAATCTGAACGTAGAACCGGGAAAATGTATAGATAGGGAAAATGCAGAGAAAGAGAGTCTACGGTGATGGAATTTTGGTGAGGAGGGGCGTCGCGGACAAGAAAAGCGCAGGGAATCCGATCTTCTGCACCGCTCATCTCCACCTCGACACACCTCCGCCCATCGCAGCCCTGAACCTTCCGCCATTGTTGACGCTCTCCTCTTTCCTCTCGATATCGATCTCTCGACTCTTGCGGATGAGCGACGATAACCTGCGAAAAAGAGGAAGAAGGCGAGAAGACCCGCAAACTGGAGAGGGCAAGGGCGAGGGAGATCAAAGGAGCACGGGATGCGGGGGTGAGGGTGAGGGGGACTGGAGAGGGGCACGGGAGGTCTTTTTCACCCTAACACACGAACTAAACATAGAACGCGAAGGGAGCGGAGCTTGTGAGAGTTCGCCTATTTCCTCTAATACCGCGTATCAGTGGTACGAGAACGCTCGTGGGAACGCTTCATCCAAACGTCATTGCGACATTTTCAAACCGCCACCATTCCCAATAAGCTACCCCAAACGGGCACTTAGTTACACTCCTAATTTGGCATTTAACTACTGTGGAAATATTTCCAGTTGCAACAGTACTTGTTGGGGATAGACCCATTATGAATTTAGTGTTGACAAATTAATTATGCAATTCTTATTTCTTTTTGCCTTTAATGCACATCGAAGGAGCTTTAGCTTTTGTATTGCTAGTTGGCATATGTAAAATAAGTTGAATAACTATGGTTGTTGTGGATAATGTGTCCTCAAATCAAATGGAGACAATGTGGTGGATAAGGCTTTAGTTGGCTTTAGTCAGAGTCGATCAAAGCTTGTTCAATTCCATTAAAGCACATGCAAGTCTGCTATATGTCTATGCTATTTTGACTATCCTAAGATTCTTCTCATTTCAATGATTTTAGGGCGATATGATTAGGCGATTAAGATTAGGTGATTAACCTTTCCAAAAAATAAAGTAGAAAATAAATCTCCAATTTTACTTGTAATTGAGACCCTAATATCAGGTGATTTATAAGTGTGCCTTTTACTGATTCAAGTTTATTGAAGCCTTTTTCATTAAAAGGATTATGAAAGGAGATACTTTTGAAAAATTAGGCATTTAAGAACAATGATTTACATAAGATTGTGTTGATTATAGACGAATCAAAATTAAAGGCCTTACATCAATTATGAGAGTAATGGAACATAGACTCAGTGTTGTTGTTGGCTTAGTTGTATAAAAGGTTGATGGGTAATTTAGTGATTTGGTTGGAAGATTGGAGCATATAGGTTGATGCTTTGGACATAGGATGGAGCGAGGGCTCAGTTTGTTTTTAATGTTTTATGTGGTGAGAATAAATATTGTGTTGTTAAGTGGTGATAAGGTGTGTGGATCTGGTAAAGAAATAAGAGGATGAAATAAGCTAATTCATAAAGCTGACAAATAACATGCCACTACTTTTATAACTATTTCTAGTAATAAACTTCCAATTTAAAATTAACAGCAGGAGAAAAGAGAGATGATTCAAAAGTGAAAACAAAATATCCCCTTGTTGTTGCATGATTTTTCCCTCGTGTTTGTTACTTCATGCTTTCTCCAAGGTTGAGCTCTGATATGTTGGTGAGGATGTTGGGATCAATTTTTTATACTATTTTAATTTTCTAAGTTGTAGGGGAATAGAAAAATTCTATTGGAAGTTGTTTGAAGATCAAGAGGCTTCCAAAACATCCAATTCTAATGTTGATCATTGAATGAATGGAGCTTATGGGTTGATGTATTGGACTTGTGATTGGGTGGGGTTCAATTATATTGGTTTTAGGATATTGTGAGATAGTGTAAGGATTTGAATTTGTCTAGTGGTGATAAAGTTGTGTAGAGGTGGGGGAAAGACAAGATAGTAGATTTTGGATAAATTTGGGAGGGTTTAAGAAGGAAGATAATTCCTTTGCATGTGATTAAATAGATTAGGTGGGGAAACTACATAATGCTAAAGATGTAACAGATAGGTAGATGATAAACAAAGAAGATAAATAGGAACATAATAATAGGTAAAGCCAAGCTCTCTAAAGTAGGGAAGATGTTAGCCACCGAGTTAAATATAAGCAATTAATCACCAATCCAATATCAAACTAAAATCTTATTTTTATTCAATTAATCATTAGTACCTACCTTATAATATCATTTAGCAATATGGTTAGTCCCCTAACTATTAGTATGTTGCTAATTTAATTTCATAATATTATATTTCCTTAATCTAATATTTTGAATATATTAAATTGACCCCAACCAGTCACTTAGGGCTAAATTGGGATTGATACTGTATCCCAATTTCATTAATTTCTTCCCGATGGACTACTCGGGATCAATTTTGTATAGTTAGATGATTAAATTGGAGATATATAATACTTTGGCACTAAGCTGGCCATATATGAAAATTTGGGAATTGATTTGGGATTTATTGTTTTTCAATATACAGAAGTTTACATGACTTGAAATATAAATTAGAATGGAGGAACAAAGGTTTGATGGTTAGCTGTAGCCTGCAAGCCCATCCAGGAGAAGGACCAAATTCTTTGATATGTTTTTTTCTTCTCGGAAATTTAAATGGCTTTCTTAGCTGTTCATTCATACATCATGGAGTTTGAACATCGCCAAATTATTAGCTTCAAGAAGGAAGGGTCAGCCAACACATAAGTTGGTGAGGTGGAGGTTTCAAATTGGACTTGCTTGCTTAATTGACTTGATTTACCTGAATGTATGGTTACTTTTACATGGTTACAAAATAGTTTCTCGGGCAATTACATCATTTCATTCACCAAATTAATTCAATAAAATAAAAATAGAAAGATGCAAAGCAGAAAAATACGGAAACAATAAAAAATTTATTTGTGCTCATTATAATGATGAAATTCAAATGAATTGTACCAGTTAAAGATGATAAGTTTACTTTAAAGAAGTCCGTCGATGTATATAATCATCTTGCTAGGGAGTTCAAGTTGCCCAATCTATTCAACATTTTCTTTCAGTAATAACCATTAAAAAAAATATAGTAATAATAATAATAACAATTTAAATTTATAATAAAAATCAAAACTGTGGCAAGGCTTCTTTTCCGTCACAACAGTTTTGTTATTAGGAGAGGCTCTCCATTCCATTCGAAGAAGAGAAGCGAGAAGGACAAAACCGTGAGAAGGAGAGAGAGAGAGCAAGAGAGCGAGAGAGAGGA